CACCAGGGAGGTGCCATGTGATCTTATGCACTAATCTGTGAGGAAACCATGTGCGGAAAACAAATCGCGCATCACACAATTATCAGGCTAGTAATTCACCATTATCATTCATCTCGCCAGGCTTCTATACAACTCGTTTTTTGTTTCCACATTCGCAGTGAATTCCCCCAAAACATGAATAGGCTCGAGATGTCATGGACTCAGCAATGCTGCAGCAGCAAACTAAGCGCGGAATAAAATTCCTCCTGTACTGTCTCTGCCGCTGCTTCGACAGGGACACAACAACCAACGACCGCTATGCAAAGTCCTATGACTTAAAGGTGAACCTCGTCGTAACGATGCTGTTAGATACCACGTTTCAAGGTACAAGGGCTCCTTCTGCATTTCTACTGCCTGCCAGTGCAACACCACCTCTATGAGAAGCGCTTTCTGTCGTATTCCCTGAGCAATAGAAGCCACAGCTTCCAGCGGTCACAACTCTTGTTCAAAACCAGTGCGTCCTGTACTGCAGCACCTGTATTTCCATGTTCGGTGATTCAGTTCTTCCACAACCCGTGTAATCTGTCCAGATCTGTTCAACGTTCACACGCTCAATGTGAAAAGCTGTGTGAAATATTTTGCACTAAAAGGTTTTTCACTCCCTTCTGACGTTTTCCGAGATCGATATTCATAGCCAGTGATATTTGCGATATCCGTATTAGAGATATTCGAGATATCCATATTCATAGCCAGTGAGATTTCCGAGTCTGTTATCAATAAATCTGGTTCATATACTACATTCCGTACGTTTCTATAATCAATGGTCAGAGGTAAATCCGTTGAGTAATTGGCCCGAACCAACTTCACCACAGCGTCGTTAGCGTTCACAAAAATTCACGGCAACAGCAACGACTTGGAAGAATGTACTCCGCCATACTTCACCTGCGAATTATTAACTTCTGTTTGACATTGACAGGCAATCAGGGCTCGGACTCATGGTTGGACTTTCAGTGCAGAGGTTGAAACTAATGAAGCTGGCTTGTTTGTGGATGGATATTATGTGCCATAAAGCCAAGTTTTCGAAACAACATCAGCAAATAATAATCATTTTGATAGTATTTATTGAATTAACCAAATATTTGTGAACAGACTCAGGAGTAGTTTAGATCTTAATAGCTTTTTAGAGACTGAAACTACTAAAAATTAATCTATTCCTATATCTATTGTTCACAGGTACTGTGTTAATTAAATAAAACTTAAAAAGGATTATCATTTGATAAGATCCTGAATATCTCATTTTCTCACTGTTTACGCAATCAAGCCAGATCCATTAGCTAGTACCGGTGAACCCAAACGCGAATATCGACTGTGCCGCTTATTTATGCACAGAATCAGTAGTCATAACGAAGAATAGCGTCGATGAAATCAGCGATGCAACGCTACGTACTCCGGTAACAGGGTCGGCAGGACAACTTTCGGCATGGCCATAGCAGATGCACTGTCCACCGATGCTAATATCACGAATCGCGTAGAAGTACTACAAGAGCAAGGTACAGTTCGGCTGAACGAAAATTCTACGAGTCGAGTCACTAACCCGTCGAGTTACTGACTCGTCAATAAGTTCATGCTTTGGCCTTCTGGTAATGTATATCAGGTCTGAGTTGAGTGTTCGTATCTTCTGCAATCTCAGACGAACAAACCTGGCCTTCGTAAACTCCTAAACACCAAATGAAAACTGGTCATCTCCTCATTTTTTCGAACGAAGCACGAAAGCTTTGCGCTTACTTGCAACGTTTCACTTGGTCCATCAAGACCCGACCGCCCATTGACTAGTGACGTGTGGATCTAAACATGTATATTTGAAGAACAGAACGGACACAAAAAGCTTTGAATTTACCTCGCCGTCTTCAAGAGGATCGAGCATCGAATAATGACTTGTGCAGATAACATCATCGTCATTGACGAACTTCGGCACTTGAGGAGCACCCGGAATTCCGAACACTCTCAGACACTCTTCGTCGCTCGTCGCGTAGTACTGCCATGGCTTAAACGTCAAACCATCCACGGATCGCTCCAAAATCCATCTACCCGGCCGGGGAGCGATCGCGGCTTTGATGATCACGTAAGCCACCTGATATTGCTAAAATTTAAATTTGTCAGCCAACTGAATTTACTTAATAACCTAGTGAAAAAAATGTAAACTAGGCATAACAGTGAACGGCAGGAAATAAACAAGTCGCTTCAAAACAGAAATGCACGCAATCTTCACTCAGCGCTTTATAACGGTTCCCAAAAAACTGAGTTAACAACGAAAAATACCTTCATAAATTTCAATATTACGGTTTCTGCGCAACACGAATGAACCGTTCCTCCTTGTTGACCCTTCCTGTTTCTACAGTTCTACTGTTGAATAAATTACGCATGCATAAATGTTTTGCTTACATGCGGATAAGCCAAGTGTCAATATGTCAAAATATAAGTTCGCCTTTCTTGAATGATGTAATCAATGAGTAAATCTGAACAGCGCTATCGCGTTACATTGCCCAGATCGTCAGGCGAAGAACAACGTCGCTGAAATGATGCCGTATTCATTTCGTTTTCTGGCATAGTCAGTGAAGCACTGTACAACTGTTCTGTTCGTCTTCAGTTTTAGATCATTTGTTTAGACGATATGAGACATGATGGGAAGGTTTCACTGCGTTGTGTCCACGGACTAATACGTACAATGTCTCGCGCCTTTCTATCTAGATGCGTAGTCACGGTTTCCTTCTGTCAGGCACTGCCTTAAATATAATTCCTTCCTTCAATCTCGGCTGCACTGCCCGGTTAACCGGCCGTCTCGCGGTGCGTGATAAGCGCAGACAAATGCCTTGTCATCCAGAAACTTTTCGTTCATGAACGCAGTGACGGAGTTATGGAGAACGAAATAGCAATTTTCTCAGAAAAATTAAAAATTCCACGGAACTGGCCAGCAGTACAGAGATTACTTATTTGAAGCGAGCCGAGAGGACCTGACGGCTAGATTTAAAGCAGGTGATTGAGGTTTAAAACTTTTATTCCGTTATGCTCTTTATGCATTAAACATTAAATCGTAAACGATAGCAGATGTGCACACAACCATTCAATCCTAGCGACGCATTTTAAACCAGAAGGCATGCGATTCATGCCACATTTATTTTAACATCAGTACCTACTTAAATGGTTTACATTTACACTAGTAAATCTGAAATTAACTGCGTAACGTATTAATCAAAATAGCAACATAAACAAAAGCTACAAGATGGCACATGGAGGCTTCTCGCTGAAAACAAACAGAAATGCCGATAGCTTCCTCTTCATCTCTCATCGCCAAATGGGTGTACAGATGTCAGTGTGGCTTCTGCAAGAAACGCATTCCCACTTCTGATCATTTTAAGTCATACCGGTTAGGTGGTTAATCTCGTTTACTCTCAACGCTAAAAAAACGGTTATTTCAGCATTTCTTTTTGTGTCCTTTCGAATTTCTGCGTTGAACGGTGCCTTGCACGACAGTTTTTAGCGACGTTGTTGAATCGAGAGATGTGCCAGAATAACTGTATTTTAAGCTATGAGGATCGTTAGCAACGGTCCCTCATCACCGGCGAATCATCCTGTCATTCACCAGACTTCGACATTTGTCTTGTTTGTGGCATGTGGAATCCGCAAAAGGCGCCAGCGGCATCTCACTTGCAACGCCTGTTTCTCTCTTTCCGCTGCTGCCGCCAGCGTCCAGGTTCCAGAGGGCTTGTATTAAAATAAATTCTCAATTCACTTAAGCCCAAGTGAGGCTTACCATGTTACCCAGAATAACATGATCACTGTCATGATTTTCTTCAATTTTTGTAACGCTGTGTCACGTTAGTAGCCGTAAGGACCTGTCGTGAACCGTGAAACGATCGAATAACCACGCTCTGGTAACGGACAAAGGACAAAGTTCTGGCCTTTTAAGGCAACTTTTTCAAAAAAAAACCTACCCGGATAAAGGGATTAGCAGCCACCGTCTTCGTTATCTTCATGTAAAGCACCATGCGTCAAATACAAGATTTCAGACAGGGTCCACCCAACGACCCTGGACGGACGACATCGCATGATGGACACAACTTAACATCTTAAACGCAACCATGATCCCTAAAGTCGGAAACCTGTATCATGCGTCATACTGTCCATCTCATCCGTAGGTGACTGATCAACTGATAAAATGCTCAATAAAACAGAAACAAACATAGTATGCACCATCCACTCTGCAATACGCATATCAAAATATCTGTTCAATTTACTCAGTTTGTTGCTTGCGTCTAGCACTGCAACCAGGAGCAATGACGCACTGCAGTACGCCGCGAAATCTGGTCTTGATGGAGTTACGCGTTATTTGACACGCTGTGGTGTTCGAACAAACTTCTATCTTAATACGGAGCGTATGAGGAGGACCAGCTCCTGAAGCGTTGATCGCAGTGATCACGAGGTGGCTCTAGCGGACAAAATAATGCGGGATGCATGCGGCACGGCAGGTGCTCAAATGCCATGGAGCTGTAGCCTACTTAAATTTACCCTATCCCAGGCAACTAGAAGCACGGGGCGGTGCGATGCGTCGTGAAATGTGGTCTTGAAGGAGTCATGCGTTGCCCAAAATTTGTTCAGCATAACAGAACGTTATTCAATGACTGCTGATAAGCAAGGTACGTAAAAGTGCTGCGAACCTGACGTAAATCCAGGGTGATCGTTACCCATTCGTACTGAGGACCGTTGGCGATAGTCGGGCTTTGCCAGTAGCGATTCGTTCCATCAGTGGCGAATTCCACAGGATGCCTCTTGTGCGGATTGTTCGCGTCGCATACGTCGCACTGAGGAGATCTGAAACAGAACCAGTCATCTGTTGAATGGAATAGAGCGACAACGGCTTCTCACAGCAGACCTCATAAAAACGTGTTCCACCAATTTGCAGTAGTTCTCGGCTGCAGTCTCACCGCATGTCGCATTGGCGGTAATTATCGCGTTAGTAGCCAAATTGAAAATGTTCGGGAACAAGCCTCGCCCTAAAACAGCGCAAACATAAACCGACGGTAACTGATGATGATCTGCAGGGTGAAAGTCTGGCATCGAAATGAAAATCGACGCTTCTCAGAATTTCTCGCATTAAGTGCGTTAAAATAGCTGAGTGCGTCAATGGGCGAGGAACCAGTAGTACAAGGTAATCGGTCGAAGTATCAAACGCTGCATCTTTCATGTTCATTCAAGGCTCAACGCTACACCAACAATAACTGATCATTCGACGTTTCAACGTGCATGCCTAATCAAGTTTCTGACCTCTGAACTACCGAACTATCGCGTGCAAATATTTCGTCCATTTTGACCATGCTGAATTACGATGGTTCATAGTTTGATATGGAAATACCGTCCACAAACGTTTCGGTCTATGCTAACAGTCAAATTTAAGTGAACCATAAGGCACACAATAAGAGACCAGAACGTTCGATATAACAGTGAACAATACTAATTACCAAGGTCACCAGTGAAAGTGGATCCATATTGGGCTGACCAGAGTCTGGTTCAAAGTTCTACCTTCTTGCATCGATCAAATATCGGGCAGCGAACAGATCGACTGGCCTTCGATAAGCCTCAATCCGACTCCCGTAAGGAACGATAGATAGGTAGATAGACCTTGAGCCTGGCCGATTCGAAATATTGTTGAAGATACGGGCACTGCGGGTGAATTGGCTAGGCTAGAATCTAAATGTCCCGAACAACTGTCCTCCGTATCAAGCATTCGGCTAGGATGTACCCAAGTTCGTCTGAGCCGCATTTGCACAGCCAACCAAGTAGATGCAAAATGCTCCCGATAATGAGAATTAGTCATCTCCTTCGACATTCCACGACGTAAAACTGTAGATCGTCTTCGCGAAACCTCTCGGAAGAGTTTGCACATCAGGTCGAGTTGATCCAAGTTATTATGCCAGCGTCACGCGACTTCAGAACGATCAAGGCTGTTAGAAACGAAGGCTACCAAACCTACGGTGTTTTCATCATCCGTGAGATTCAGCCAAGTTTTATGTAAGCGAATGACGCCAGTGTTGCTGAAAAGCGGCATACGAGAAGTAAATGCAACTCATAGAGCTTTTGCAAGATGCGTGGTACTGCTGGGAACTACCATATTTGACTCCTTATATTAACTTATTTGATGTTATATGATTAGCTTGCTTGATCTCTCGTAAATAACTTACGAAACGAACAGCTGAATTATAATCGCCTCCTGCCCTCTGCATGGTAGTCAGCAAGACGCCCTTAATTTCCTACTTTCTGTTCGATTCCTGACTTGATCCATAAACATCGATGATGATTTAGTGGTTTCCGCGGCACCAACGAAACAACTGTGCAAACATTTGTCATGTACCCGAGTCGAAAGGACGTGGACACCTAAAGCTGGTTCTACGTCAGTACGACGAGAAGGCTGCCTTGATGTCTCAAAATTTGGACGCCTTATTTCGGCTATGTTATTTCCACATATCCAGCTGAAAGTTGTAAAAGAAAAACGTAAGCTTCGAGTGATTCGGATATCTGTTTCCCTTATATTTCCAAGACTGACGCCATCCGCGGCTAACTTGATGTGGACTTTTTTGGTGGCGCTGATTTTAATTTCGCTCGGAATGTCCCAGACTAGAACGCCCTAGTTTTGAAGTCAACATTTACAGCTACATGAAAAACGTAATGCACTAAACAAAACCACTCAATTATCAGCGTCAGAAAAGGAACGAGTGGTCCATTCACAATTTGAACCACTTCACCTTTCAACCGCTTCTCCGGTGCAATAATCACAGACCAAAGTACCGATTCACGCACGAATCAG